AGATTGTCCAGAAGGGACCATAGATTTCCCAGAAGGAACGTCAGCTTTTTCCAGAAGCGATCATACATACCATAAATGCCCAAATAGGACCTAAGATCCTATGATTGTCCAGTAGGGACCTCCTCACATGACAGGATTGCCCAGAATTTGCCAGGAAGGAAGGCTCCATGGGTAATTAATCACCGCCGTGGTTTTATCTCCTTCTCGAAGCTGATTGGCCACTTGTGGCTCGAGCAATCGACCCCATTTTTTGCCTATCCGCCAACTTTGATATATAGCCTGACCTTCTGGAGGTCGCATGCAGAAAACACAAAATAATATTTATTTTTGGATTTTTACTCAGATGTGTGAATATAACAAAACTGATTTCAACTTCCACTTTCTTCACCACCTTTCCATGCCTCTGGCGATACTAAGACCAAAATTTGTTGAGCATGGCTTCTTAAAAGAATGCCTCCAAATGCAGCTAGTTATTCAAATAGATTTGGGCTTGCATTTCCATTATCTACTATAAGCCTTAACGGCTCACCAGTTTTGAAACTTTGTCTTCCATTTTCTGCCATTATCAGAAGCTGATCATTAGTTTTGGACCTGATTCTTTCATTTTCTTCTAGCACCATATCTGAATCATTAGATTTATCTTGAGTTTTCCATTCTCCGCCATCATTACGTCTTGTTCGCTAACTTTCAATCAGTATCATTCATTACATTACCATCACTACATCTTTGGCTTAGAATCTATATGTATCTTGAGTGGTCTAAAAAGAATACGATTTCAAGAGACGCAGGTAATATATTCTCCCCTGGTTGCCGAGAAGTGACCTCAATGATGCTCCATATATATATAACTTATTGCTTATGTAAACTTAACTTCACTATGTAAATATAGTTATGGATATATATGTAAATAATATGATGTAAATAATAATGTGTGTGACTGGATAAAGAATTTTGATCTTGCATGTGAACTTCTTGATGTCGATGCAGAACACATTACTACATGTATATATATAATTTATTTCTCCTCTAGTTTCTTGTATTATTATTACAGCCTTGTTGAAAGACGTTATTGTCCAAAAGTTCGCCAATTTTATATCTCTTCAAGAATAAACTCGACGTTTTTATCTTTAGTCTCTTCTTTGAACAGATTTCATTTACTTAATGTAAATATTCACTTAAATTCTCTCAGATGTGTACATATATTTTTCCTGATGTCTGCATCCACATTTCTTCAAAACACGTCAATGCTACTTAGGGAGATCCGGGCCCAAAACTGTTGTACTAGAACTTGTATCCGATCACGTCTAGTACAACAGGTTTGGGCCTGTGTCTTCCCTTATCTACAATCACATCTGGATCATCAGCTTCGAACGGTCTCTTCAATTCTCTGCCATTATCATGTGGACGTCCCAGACTCTACAAGCTACTGGTGGGCAGATCCGGGCCCAACGTTGTTGAAACGTTCCTGGAAGGTTGTTTCCAAACCGTGAGTTTCAACATCTTTGTACCTGTTTCTTCCATTTTCTATGATCATCACCATCCGCCCATCAGATTTGAACCTGTGTCTTCCAATTTCTACAATCATCACCATCTGACCGTCAGCTTTGGACTTGTGTCTTCTCTGTCATCAACACATTTGAATCAACAGCATTGGACCTATGTCTTCCATTTTCTTCAATCATCACCATCTGATCATCAGCCTTGGACCTGTGTCTTCCCTTTTCTGCCATCAACACATCAAACTCACCAGCATTGAACCATTGTTCCCCATTTTCTACGATCATTACCATATTCCCATCAGCAGCTTTGGATCCGTGTCTTCCCTTCTCTGCCATCAACACATCAAACTCACCACCATTGAACCCTTGTCCTCCATTTTCTACAATCATCACCATCTGCCCATCAGATTTGAACCTGTGTCTTCTCATCTCTGCCATCAACACATCAAACCCCCCACCATTGGACCCTTGTGTTTCTATTCTTTGCTATTATATTCGGCTTATCAACTTCAAAACTGTTTATTTCATTTTTTACTATCTTTATGTCTATACCTATCTTCTCTGCTATCATCAGGTGAATTCCCCCCGAACTGTATACATGTTTGATAGTACTTTTATTATCCGTCGATACCACAATACTTCATCATAATATTTGTCGATTGTAAAAGAATATTCCTTGATAACAATCAATCTGATTTTTAGTATACAATTTGGGTTTTTCATTTCAAAATGCTTTTGTATTTGCATATCTCTAGCATTATCTTACCCTATCATACATTTTGTTAGCATCTGTAAAACAAATTAAATGCCGATTTTACCTCTATATATATATAATCTCAGTTATGTAAATGGTGAAAAACTGGTATATATATGTATATATGTAGAATTTTATTATACTATGAGGGCGGCGTTATAGTAAATATTACTCAGGTAAATTAAAAGGTATACCCGTTGGCTTGGTGAAAACTGAAAAATCACCATAACGATTGCCATTTCTGTCTCTGAAAAACCACAGGCCTCTTTATAGCAAAAATAAACAAACTTTATCCTGATATACCATCAGCTAAACAAGCTATTCTTCACAACCTCGGGAATTCCATACCGATTCCTAATATGGTTCAAGAATCATTTGTCGAAAAGAGCGATTAGCATACAGCAGATTGCCTATAAAGACCTTGCAGTATCAGTTTCCAAAAAAAAAAAAATAATAATAAAAAAACACCCTGGAAATCTTTTAAATCATCCAATAGGGACAAACGAACTCATATTGCCAAAAGGACACTTCAGCTTCATATTGCCAATAAAAGACATTGTATTATTAGATTTCCCAGAAGTCACTTTGCAGCCATAGATTCACTACAGAGGTTGAAGGTCTTAAATTTCCTATAAATGACCTTAAAAATTCAGTTTGCCCAGTAAGGATCTAACAATCGCTGATTACCGAAAAGCTTATTGCATTTCTAGAGTGGTCAATTCCATGGTTGCTTTGAAGTCGAAAGGAAGGAAAGCTAAAGGGCTTGGTAATCACAGTCGCAGTTGTTTCACAGTCTCGAAGCAGATTGAGCAATTGTGGCTGAAAAAATATAAGCCACACCTCATCGCTATCTTTAATATATGGTCTGATTGTCGAGTTCTTTCATGCTGGAAACATTTCACTAATATGATATATTTATGCATGTTTTCAGTCAGGAGTGTATATGCATATACACTTGTATATATATGTATATATAATTTTATTGAAGTCTTCATCCAGCTTTCCTAAACATCTGTACATGCAACTTAGGGGGATCCGGGCCCAAAACTGTTGTACTAGATTTGGAGCTAGCTTCCGATCACGTCTAGTACAACAGGTTTGGGCCTGTGTCTTCCATTATCTACCATCACATCTGAATCATCAGCTACGGGCTTGTGGATTCCAGTATTTGTCATCCCATCAAACTCACCAGTTTTGGACCCGTGTCTTCCATCCTCTGCTATCATCACATCATGACCACCAGCATTGGATCTTCCATTCTGTGCTATAATCATGTGAATGGACCAGACAAGAACTGTATCTCAAGAATTATAGAAATACCTTCACCTTAAGACCTCCTGTAAATATATACTGATCTGAAAAAAAAAAAGATCGACCTTGAAACTTTAATTTTGCAGAAAGTCTTTTCATCTCATGAGTGTTAAGAAAATATCTCATATACTATAATTGTCTATTATGATTTTAAATTATATTATTGTCCAGAGGAGACATCACATCCTATGATTGCACAGAAAGCGCATCACATTCTAGAATTGTCCACTAGGGACTTTATATCCCATAATTGTCCAGAAGGTACCTCACATCCCATGATTGCCCAGTAGGTATTTCACATTGCATGATTGAGGGACCTCACATTCCATGATTTCACATTGCATGATTGACCAGAAGTGGCCAGGATGAAAGGCTAAATGGATAATTAATGAACGCCGTGTAATTTTATATCCATCTCAAAGATGCGTGGCCATTTGTGTTTCTGGAACAATCGACTTCTTTTTTTGCTTTTCCGTCAAATTTATATTATATAACCTGGCATAAAAGATATCGCAGGATGTATACAATGGATATATATATAAATTATGTTTGTTTTCATTCAGTTATGTATATATGATTTTCTTGATGTCTAGATCAACCTTTCTTCGAAATTCTTCCCTGCTACCTTGGGGAGATCCGGGCCCAAAACTGTTGTACTAGATGTGGAACTTGCTTCTTATCACGTCTAGTACAACAGGTTTGGGCCTGTGTCTTCCATTATCTACCATCACTACTGACTGCTACATCTACTGCTACCACTGCACATCTAGATCACCAGCTTTGGGCCATATCCTTCCTTATTCTGCTCCTCTCATGCAGATTGATCAAAAAGGAACTGTGTATCAAGTGTACCAGAAATATTTTCGTCCCAAGGGATATTGTCTCAAGTGAAGGATATATATATACAGGTCTACGAAGACAAAAATATTTCTGGAACACTTGAGTCGCAGTTCCTGTCTTGTCTATCGACAAAAGGATAAAGGAACCGGGTCCTAAGCTTTTGAATCAGATGTGAAGGCAGAAAGCGGAATCCACAGTTCCGAAGCTGATGATCTAGAGACAAGACCCAGAGACAAGATCAAATTTTGCATCCCCACAAAGAACTCCAAAGAACCACTGATCTCATGATTGTCCTGCAATCCGCGGTTGTCTAGAAGTCGCTAGGAAGGAATACTCCATTGGTAATTATTCAACGCCATGCTTTTATATCTTTCTTAAAGCTGATAGGCCACTTGTGACCGAAAAAAATCGACTTCAGTTTTTACCTTTCTGCCAAATATGATATATCATCTAACGTTCAGGAGTTCGCATGATGTATATATTGGATCTATTTAAAATATTTATGCATGGTTTTTTATTCAGGAATGTATATATTATTTACTTTATGTCTATATCAACCTCTCTTCAAAAAGCTTCTCTGATACTTAGGGAGATCCGGGCCCAAAACTGTTGTACTAGACTTGGAATTTGCTTCTGATCACGTCTAGTACAACAGGTTGGGCCTGTGTCTTCCATTATCTACATCTGACTCAAGTTTTGGACCTGCCTTCCATCTGCTGTGCTACCATCACGTCTGGCTCCCTAACTTCAGTCCTGTGTCTTCCATTCTCAGCTACTCACACGAGGATGAAGCAAACAGAAAGTATGTCTCAAGTGTTCTTGAAATATCTTTGTGGCAAGAGGACTCTAACAATAAACACTGAGCTGAAGACAAGAATAACTTTTCAACTCAACGTTCTCTCAAAGGGACTTCGCATTCCATGATGGCCTAAAAGATGCATCAAATCCTTTGGGAGGTCAGAAGAATTCTCGTATAACATTTTCGGCAATAAATCTCCAGAAGACACACTCCATTGGTATTTAATCACTTCTGAAGTTCCATCTACATCTTTAAGAAGATTCTCCACTTGTGGCTGAAACATTCATCTCTATTTTTTACCTTTCGGCAAAATTTGAAATAAGCTTTGATGCTCAAGAGTCTACATCAACCTTTCTTCGTCATCCTTCTCTGCTATTTAGGGGGATCCGGGCGCGAAACTATTGTACTTGACGTTTGACTTGATTGTTAACGTCTAGTACAACAAGTTTGGGCCTGTGTCTTCCGTTATCTACAATCAAATATGAACCATCAGCTACGGGCCTGTGGATTCCACTTTCTGCTCTCTCATCTGACTTACTGCTTTGGACCTATCTTCAATCTACTGTTACCATCTCATCTGACTTACAGCTTTGGACCTATCTTCAATCTACTGTTACCATCTCATCTGCTTGCCAATTTCAAGTCTGTGTCTTCTATCTTCATGTCGATGGTCATACAAGAAAGATGTTTCAAGGGTGTGTTCCGCAAATATATACAGAACTGAAACCAAGATGAAACTTTGTAATCTAACATTGCTTAGAAAGAACATCTCATCCAATAATTGTCCTGAAAGAAACCTCATATCAATGGCTGCCCTGAAATCCTAAGAAGGAAGGCTTCATAGGTAATTTATCAAAAATTGGTTTATTATCCTTATCGAAGCTAATTGGCCACTTGTGGATGAAATAATCGACCCCATTTTTTGCCTTTCCGCAAAATTTAATCAATGAATTTTTTTCTGGAGATTGCATGATGTACATATTGAATCTATTTGAAATATTGTAATATGTACACATGCTTCAATAAGGAATGTATAAATGATTTCCTTTATGTCTATATCAACCTGCCTTTAAAATCCTTCTCTGCTACTAAGGGAGATCCGGGCCCAAAACTGTTGTACTAGACTTGGAATTTGTTTCCGATCACGTCTAGTACAACAGGTTTGGGCCTGTGTCTTCCATTATCTACAATGACATCTAGATGATCAGCTTCGGGACTGTGGATTCCGCTTTCTGCCCTCACATCTGAATCACCAGCTTAGGACCTGGTTGCTTCATACTTTTGTATGACAGGAACTACGACTCAAGTGTCCAGAAATATTTTTGTCCCCGTGGATCTGAAAATATATCCTGAACTTGAGACAAGATTGAACTGTTCAACCTCACATGTTCCTAAAGGACCTCTCATCCTTTGATTTATCTTAAAGGAACTTCTCATCCATGTTTGCCTGAAGTCGCCACAAAGGAATTTCCATGAATAATTAAGCAACAATCTTGTTTTGTATTCTTCTCGTATCTGATTGGCTACGTGTGGAGGTAAAAATAGAACCTATTTTATGCTTTGGGCCAATTTGATATATGACCTAAGATTCAGGAAGTTGCATGATGTATATATTGGATCCAAATGAAATATTTATGCATGCTTTAATTCAGGATGTATATATGATTCTTTTGATGTCTACATTTATCTTTGTTCAACTCCCTTCCCTGAAACTTAGGGGGATCCGGGCCCAAAACTGTTGTACTAGACTTGGAGCTTGTTTCTGATCACGTCTAGTACAACAGGTTTGGTCCTGTGTCTTCCATTATCTACCATCACATCTGAATCATCAGCTACGGGCCTGGATATTCCACTTTCCACCTTAGCATCTGAACCACTCTTTTGGAACCTATGTCCTCCATATTTTTGTGGATAGACCTGTCAAGAACTAAGTCTCAAATATCCAGAAAAATCTTTCTCTCAAGAGAACCTGGAAATATATACTGTACTGGGAACGATATGAAGATCCACAACCTCACCTTGTTCAGAAATAATCAGTTTTGCAAGGATTATCCCGAAAAGAAACTCACCTTCATGGTTGCCCAGAAATCTTCAAGGGGAAAGATTCATTGTAAATAATAAACATCAAGATTTTATCTCTTTTGAAGCTAATTGGCTGCTTGTGGTTGAATAATCGACCTTAATTTTTGCCATTCCTCAAATTTGATATATAACTTGATTTTCAGAAAATCGCATGATATACACATTGAATCCATATAAAATAATTTTGCATGTTTTCATATATGAGTGTATAAATGGTTTCCTTTATGTCTATGTCAACCCTTCTTCAACAGCCTTCCCTTCTATTTAGGGGGATCCGGGCCCAAAACTGTTGTACTAGCCTTGGAGTTAACTTCCGATCACGTCTAGTACAACAGGTTTGGGCTTGTGTCTTCCATTATCTACAATCACATCTGGATCATCAGCTACAGGATTGCCATCACATCTGCCTCACCAGCTTGGACCTGTCTTTCATCCTCTGCTACTATCTAGTCCAGCTCGCCAACTTCAGACCTGTGTCTTATATTCTGAGTTACCCTCTTGTGGATGGGCCAAACAGAAACTTTGTTTCAAATGTTACCGAAATATTTTCGTCTCACGGGACCCAGAAAAAATATATACTGACTGGAGATAAGATGAAACTTTGCAACCTCACATTGTCCAGAAAGAACCACTCTCCCCAAGATTGTCCTGAAAGAAACCTTACATCCATGGTTTCCCAGGATACACAAGGAAGGAAGACTTCATGGGTAATATATAAACGCCATGATTGTATATACTTCTTGAAACCAACTGGTCACTTATGGCTGGAACAATTGGCCATGTTCTCTGTCTTTTCTCTAAATTTGATATATGATCATATGTTCAGAAGTTTGCATGATATCTATATTGGATCCACATAAATTATTTATGCATGTTTTCATTCAGGAATGTATATATGATTTCCTTGATCCCTATATTAACCTTTCTTCGAAATCCTTCCCTGCTACTTAGGGAGATCCGGGCCCAAAACTGTTGTACTATATGTGGAACTTGCTTCTTATCACGTCTAGTACAACAGGTTTGGGCCTGTGTCTTCCATTAACTACTATCACATCTGGATCATCAGCTACGGGCCTATGTCTTTAATAATCTGCCATCACATCTGACTCACCAGCTTGGGACCTGTGTCTTCCATTCTCTTCAATCCTCATGTGGATTGATCAGAGAGAAACTGCCTCAAAGCTGTTTTTGAAATATTTATTTTCAAAGGACCATGAAACTGCGAGATGAATTCCGGTAATACAAGATGAAAATTTGCAAACCCACATTGCTCAGACAAGACCTCTCATCCTATGATTATCTTGAGAAAAGAATCTCACATCCATGGTTGCCCAAAGGTCGTCAGGAAGGAAGACTCCATGGGTTTATACTTCTTTTGAAGCTGAATGGCCATTTTTGGCTGGACCAACCAACCTCAATTTTTACCTTCGATAAAATACGAAATTTGACCTAATGTTCAGGAAGTGGCATGATGTGTTTATTGGATCCATATAAAATATTCATGCATGTTTTGATTCAAGAGTGTATATATTATTTCGTTTATGTATATATCAACCTTTCTTCAACATCATTCCTAGCTACTTAGGGGGATCCGGGCCCAAAACTGTTGTACTAGACTTGGAGCTAGCTTCCGATCACGTCTAGTACAACAGGTTTGGGCCCGTGTCTTCCATTATCTACGATTACATCTAGCTTGGGTCCTGTCTCTTCTATCCATTGCTACACAGCTGTATATGGACCAAGGAGGAACTGTGTCTCAAGTGTTCCAGAAATATATTTTCCTCAAGAGACCCTGAAAATATATTTAGAATGAAAAATACAAAATGGCACTTTGCAACCTCAAACATTGCACAGAAAGGAACTCTGAAAGAAACCCCATCACTATAATTGCCCAGAAGTCGCAAAGAAGGTAGAGTATACAGGTAATCTATCACACTTTGGTTTTATATCCTTTTCGAATCTGAATAGCCCACACGTGGCTGGAACAATTAAATTTTTGCCCCTTTTCGCCAAATTTAATATATGACTTGATGTTCAGGAAATAGAATTATCTATACATTGGATACATATAAAATAATCATGCATGTTTTCATTCACGAATGTATATATGATTTCCTTCATGTCCATATCAATCTTTCTTTAAAAGTCCTTCTCCTGCTATTTAGGAATATCCGGGCCCAAAACTGTTGTACTAGATGTGGAACTTGTTTCCGATCACGTCTAGTACAACAGGTTTGGGCCTGTGTCTTCCATTATCTACCATAACTACTGACGCATCAGCTACGGGACTGTGTTTACCACATTATATTTCATCACATCTGACTCACCAGCTTTGAACCTGTCTTCCATCTACTGAGCTACCATCACGTCTGGCTTCTCAACTTCGAGTCTGTGTCTTCCATTCTCTGCTACCTCAATTGGATGAACCAAACAGGAGCTGTTTCTCAACCTATCCTGAAATATCTTTGTATCAATGGATAGTAACAATAAATAGTGAACTGTAGACAAGACAATACTTTTAGACTAAAAATTTATAACTCTATTCGTATTCTGAAGGCACATCACATTTCATGAACACCTAGAAAGGATATCACTTGGTATAATTGTTTATAAATACACAGAAGTCATTGTAATTAATCATTGATGTGGAATTTAATCTTTTATCGATGATTGGCCGATTTTGTGATATGCTTAGATATTCAGGAGGATGCATGCTGAAAACATTGAAACTATAATACATATGCATGCCTTTTTTAATAAGTCTATATATTATTTACTTTATGTCTATATCAACTTTTCTTCTTCATCCTTCTCTGCTATTTAGGGGGATCCGGGCCCGAAACTATTGTACTTAGACGTGGGCTTTGATTGTTAACGTCTAGTACAACAGGTTTGGACCTGTGTCTTCCATTATCTACAATCAAATCTGACCCACAAGCTTGGGACCTGTGTCTTCTATCCTCTGATACCATCCCTTCTATATCATCAGCATCGGGGCATTGTCTTCCATTCTGTACCACCTTCATGTTGATGAACCTGATTGAACTGTGGTCTCAAGTGTTCCCAGAAACATTTTTGTTTCAAGGGACCCTGAAAATATATACTGCACTCTGGGAACAACATGAAACCTTGCAACCTCACATTGTCCAGAAAGGATCTTCACAAGATTGTCCTGAAAGAAACCCTATATCCATGGTTACCCAGGATACACAAGGAAGGAAGACTCCATGGGTAATATATAAACGCCATGATTGTATATACTTCTTGAAACCAACTGGTCATTTATGACTGGAAAAATTTATCATATTCTCTGCCTTTTATCTAAATTTGATATATGATCATATGTTAAGTTTGCATGATATCTATATATATATAATTGGATCCACATAAAATATTCATGCATGTTATCATTCAGGAGTGCATATATGATTTCATTGATCTCTACATCAACCTTTCTTCGAAATTCTTCCCTGCTACTTAGGGAGATCCGGGCCCAAAACTGTTGTACTATATGTGGAACTTGCTTCTTATCACGTCTAGTACAACAGGTTTGGGCCTGTGTCTTCCATTATCTACTATCACATCTGGATCACCAGCTACGGGCCTGTGGATTCAACTTTCTGCCATCAGATCTGACTCCCAAGCTTAGAAGCTGTGTCTTCCATCCACTGCTCCAGCAAATCTAACTTGACATCATCGGACTTGTGCTTTCCATCCTTTGCGTCCTATATGTAGATGGAACAGGAACTGTCTCAAGTGAAACAGAAATTATTTCGTTCCATGAGACCCTGAAAATATATACTGAACTGGCGTCAAGATCAAAATTCGCAACTTCACAATATCCAGAAAAGACCTCTCCTCCCATTATTGTTCTAAAAAATGAACTTTACATTCATGTTTGTCCAGAAGTCGCCAGAAAGGAAAACCCATAGGTAATCCATCAACACCGTCGATTTATTTTCTTTTGTGAACCTATTAATGGTAACTTGTGGCTGGAACAATTAAACTCAATATTTACTTTTTCTTTAAATTTAATATATGAGCTAACCTTCAGGAGTTCTCTTTATGTTTATACTAGCCGAATGACCCGGGCAACGCCCGTGTTTTACCCGATTGAATGTTTTGATTCAAATACTATTTGTTACAATTATAAATTGGCGCCTTAAATAAATGCATATATTAGTTAATACCTATAGCCTATGTGCTTTATCTGTCTATGTACTGTTGGCTTCCGTAGGCGTCTCATACTGGGAAAAAGAAAGAGAGGATTCCATTTAGATATTAACTAATACATGCATTTATTTAAGGAGCGACCCGCTCCAACACAATAGTTACAAAAACGATAAAGCGAGTGGGGGTGGCATGATGGGGGGGGGGGGGGGGGGGGGGCAAAGGTGGCGTGATCGTAGCCAATCAATAGGAGGGCGCCATTAAAAAAAAAAAAAGCAAACGGTGACAGAGTTGATGAGGAATGACGCTCGTAACTGTATATAGAATTGGATCCATATAAAATTTTCATGCATGTTTTCATTCAGGAATGTATATATAGGATATATGTCTACATCAACCTTTCTTGAACATCATTCCCTGCTACTTAGGGGGATCCGGGCCCGAAACTATTGTACTTAGACGAGGGCTTTGATTGTTAACGTCTAGTACAACAGGTTTGGCCCTGTGTCTTCCATTATCTACAATCAAATCTGACTTACAAGCTATGGACCAGTGTCTTCTATCCTCCCCTGCAACAACGTCTAGCTCTCCAGCTTCGTTCCTGTCTTCTCTTCTACCATTATTTGGATAGACCATACAGGCTATTTGTCTGTCTAAAATACTCCCAAAATATCTCAGTTTCAACAAACCTTGGCAATATTTATTGTTCTGAAGACAAGATTAAACCTTGAAACCTCATATTATTCAGATTGGGCCTCACATAAGATTTGTTTTATTGTCTAGATGGAACTCACATCGCATTTTTTGCCCAGGAAGTGATTTTATATCCCAAGATTTTCCAGAATGGAGCTCACATCCAGGATTGCCCAGAAAGAACCTTATCTATGCTGATGCCCCAGAAAGAACCTTAATCCCATGTTTTCCCAGTTGGGATCTGACATAGCATGATTGCTAAAACATCGTCAAGAAGACTCCATGGGTGTAAATCACCATCATGGTTTTATATCCTTTTGAAGCTGATTGGCCAATTGTGTTTGGAACAATCAACTCTATTTTTGCCTTTCTATCAATCTTGATATATGAAAGATCTTCAGGAGGTTGTAAATTGACAACATTGCATCTATATAAAATATTTATGCATGATTTGCATGAATTTATGCACGTTTAAGTGTCTGTATATATGATTTCCTCAATGTTAACATTCACTTTTTTACAACATCTTTTTAGACTTTCTGGGGGGGACCTTGTCATAAGACTGCTGAACTAGACTTGACACTTTCTCTCAATTACATCTAGTTCAACTGATCTGGGCCTGTTTTTTTTTTAATTATCTACTATCGCAATTGACTCATAAATTCCGGGAATTTGTCATCCACAATTTGCCCTTACATATGAATCAGGAGCTTTAGACCTGTCTTTTATTTTCTACTACCATCGTATAAATTAACCAGATAGGAACTGTGTTTCAAGTATTACATAAATATAATTATTTAGAGGGACCCTAACAATATTGGCTGTCCTGGAGAAAAGATGGAATTTGAAACCTTCATGCCATTTTGTTCACACTTAGTTATTTCGTATATCTTCAATAAAGGTCACTGTAATATCTTTCAGAGTGATTATCTGAATCCCGATATACATGCTAAAAGGTACAACTTCCTTAAATTTTGTCTATGAGTGTATTTAGGCATGTTTATTCAGTAATGTGCGAGTATATAGGATTTCTTTGATGCCTACATCCATCTTTCTTTAACATCTTTCTATTCTACTTGGGGGATCCAGGTCCAAAACTGTTGACCTTGACTTGTAATTTGCTTCTGAACACGTTTAGATCAACAGGTTTGGGCCTGTGTCTTCCATTATCTACTATCACACCTGACTCACCAGCTTTGATACTGTGTCTCCCATCCTCTGCTACCATCACCTTTAGGTCATCAGCTACAGGCTTGTGTCTTCCATTCTCTATCACCCTCATGTGGATGGACCAGAAAGGAGCTGCTTCTGACGTGTTCCCAGAAATGTCTTCGCCTCAAGGGACCCTGACAATATATATTGCCCTGAAGACATGCTGGAAATTTGGAACCTTGCACTGTCCAAAAGGTACATCACATTCTTTGATTGACGAGAAAGAACTTCAAATCCCATTATTGTCAAGAATGAAGCTCTTATCCATGATTATCAAGATAAGACCTCATATTCTATGCTTCACCAAAATTCGAAAAAAGAATTCATCAAGGATAATTTATCCTTCACCCAGTCATGATGGTTGTCAAACAGACAGCATCAAGGGTCACAACTTGATACCCTAATAAGTTTGAGTGGAGATAAGGAAGAAGAAGAAGAAGAATTCTTCTCAAAGCTAATTGGGTACTTGTGGACGAAACAATTGACCCCAATTTTGCCTTTTCGCCTAATCTGTTATATGGCCTGATATATGCAAGTTGGAATGTTCAACAAATTTTATATTAGAAAAAAAGAATATTTGGCGTCACTCAGGTGTGCATTCATGATTTCTCTCATGGCTGACACCTAGTTTCACCAACCATCCATGATCCTAGGGGGGATCCGGGCCCAAACCTGTTGAGCTAGACTTTGAGCTTCGATTACATCTAGATCATCAGGTATGTGTCTGTGTCTTCCATTATCTACCAACACATCTCTTCAGCTCTTCAAGCCTCTGTCTTCTATTCTCTACCTTCAGCCCATCTGATCACCAACTTTGGATCTCTGTTTTCTACTCTCTACCTTCAGCCCATCTGATCACCAACTTTGGATCTCTGTTTTCTACCCTCTACCCTCAGCCCCCATCTGATCACCAACTTTGGATCTCTGTTTTCTACCCTCTACCATCAGCCCATCTGATCACCAACTTTGAAACTATTTCTTCTACTATCTACCCTCAGCGCATCTGATCACCACCTTTCGATCCCTGTTTTCTACCCTCAGCCCATCTGATCACCAACTTTGGAATTCTGTTTTCTACACTCTACCATCACATCTGACTAACCTGCTTTAAACTTGTGCATTCCTTTAATTTCTATCATAACATATCACTTACCAATTCTGGAACTGTGTCTGCCATCTTCTATCATCACATCTGACTAACCAGCTTTAGACCTGCATCTTGCTTTATCTTATAATGCCGCATCTCCCTTGCCAGTTTTTAACCTGTCTTCTTTTATCTGATATTAACACATCTCCCTTGCCAGCTTTTAACCTGTGTCTTCCTCTATCTGTTATTATCACATCTTACCAGTTTTTAGCCTGTGTCTTTCTCTATCTGCTATTATAAAATATCCCTCACCAGTTTTTAACTCATGTTTTACTTTATCTGATATTACCACATCTTACCAGTTTTAATCTGTGTATTCTATTATGTACCATTAACACATCCTAATTACCAGCTTTGGAATTGCCTCTTTCATTATAGGCCATCGCATCTAACTCAACAGCTTTGGACCCGTGTCTTCCATTTTCTACCAATATATGGGAAAATATGTGTATATGTATATTTATGTGATATAATATGTATATATGAGAATATGCATATATGTGAGAATATGTATATATGTGGATATATGTACATATATATGTGAGAATGTGTATATATATGTTTGATAATATATATGTGGGAATTCGTATTTATATATATGAAAATATGTATATATGTGTGGAAATATGTATATATATGTGTGGAAATATGTATATATATGTGCGAAATTCTGAATAAATCACTTACTTCTCTAAAATGAAATGCAGCATGCAGTTGTCAATGTATATATCTTTGGTGTTCTGTTTTATTTCCTTTCTTTATTTTGCATCCTGTATGGAGACTCTGTATGAGCTCTGAATTAATTTTGAAAATGATATTGTATGAGATGCTCTCTACTCGCTTAATCAATTCGTACAGGAAACCCATTCTTGAGGTTTAAGAGATGGAAGCACACAACCTTAAAAAAACATATGACCTTTAAAACACATAACCTTCAAAACACCTTACCTTCAAAACACATGACCTTCAAAATACATAACCTTCAAACACACGACCTTCAAAAACACATGACCTTCACAACACATAACCTTCAAAAACACATGACCTTCAACACAGACAACCTTGAAAACACACGACCTTCAAAACACACGACCTTCAAAACACATAACCTTCAAAAACACATGACCTTCAACACAGACAACATTCAAAACACATAACCTTCAAAACACATGACCTTCAAAACACATAACCTTCAAACCACATAACCTTCAAAACACATGACCTTCAAAAACACATAACCTCAAATTCATAATTTCAAACACAAAACCTTCAAAAATACATGACCTTCAAAACACAACCCTCGAAATACGTCGATATTGTAAACTTCAATTTCCTCATAAATACTTCGTATAGAAGGCTATACAGTGGTACCTCGACATAAGAGTTTAATTCGTTCCGCAACCTTGCTCGTATCTTGAATTACTCGTATCTCGAAGCAAATTTCCCCATATAAAACAATTGAACTACCATTAATCCGTTCCAACCTCCAAAATGTCACCCCAGTTATTTTTGTTACGTGGTTTTAAATAATAAAAACGTATTTATAAATATCAAATATTTATTGCACAAAAACAAAAAAGAGAATGTAAAGAAATAAATTAGATATCCTCACTGGTCTTTGCCTTTTTCGCTACATTTTTCTCGCTTTCACCTGTAGGCCGTTTAGAAAAAAACATCTCCAAGGAGGTTTGTTTCTTCCTCCCTCTCAGAATGTTCCGGAAATGAGTTAGGCAAGTGTCATTAAAAAGGTCAGATGCACGACCTGTTGCAACTTTTTCTGAGTGTTTTTTTTTTCCGCGAACTGTGAAACTCTCTTCCACATTCCTAAGATCTCCTTTATCTCACTTGTAGAAATAACCTCCTCCTCTGACTCCTCAAAACCAATTACTTGCATAACCTCAGTATGCTGCTGTGACTGTAACTCTTGTATCTCCTCAGTCGTCAGTTCCTGGGTGTGCTTCTCGATGAGCTCGTTCACGTCTCTCTCTTCCACATTCCTAAGATCTCCTTTATCTCACTTGTAGAAATAACCTCCTCCTCTGACTCCTCAAAACCAATGTAACCATCGTAAGGCCCTTAGCCGGCGTTACACTCTTTATCGACTCCTTCCGTTTAAGCACAGAACATATCATGGACGTACTACGGCCATACTGCCTCGACAAGTCAACAACTCGAACACCTTGCTCATGTTTTTCTATAATTTCACGTTTTAATTCAATACTCATCATCTTTTTCTTAGCACTTGACTTTTTACAAACTTTCTTCCGATCCATGGTTATAAAAATAAATGAACTAAAACTGTAAATGTAAACGCAACACAAAACGCGAACACAAAACACAACTTATCACAGCGGAAGCACGCTGCTAACTGATCGTGATGGCGCGACTGCGTGTTACTGCGTGTTAATATAATAATATTTAGTTTTATTATAGTCATTGTTTTTTGTGCCTTCAATAGAGAAGTTTTAAGTTTTAATAGAGAGTAATTTATTAAGATTCTCCCAACAGAACTCATATCTCGAATTTCGCTCGTAACTAAAAGCAAAAAATCACTTGCTCGTCGGCTCGTATCTCGAAAAACTCGTATGTTGGGGCGCTCGTATGTCGAGGTACCACTGTATATCCATTGTTTTATTTTATTTGAGAAAGATATAACACGTGGTGTGTTTATTTCTATCTTATATATACCGGGTAGTTGGTGCTCTGCACTCCAGGAACTTGGGTTTTATATCTCTCTATAATTTAAAAATATATTCCCTTTTCATTCTTTAATATTAGAAAACGAAAGAAAAAAATAAAAGATAAAAAGATCAGGTGTTGAAATCAATATTAAAATTGGCATATCTCTCCTGACCAGGAGCACATGTGCTTTACAGAAGGCAGAGCGCCATCTGGTGGAACAGAAATCAGGGAACAGGCTAAATCAATGTTTAGTTGATTTCTGTTCCACCAGATGGCGCTCTGCCTTCTGTAAAGCACATGTGCTCCTG